CTCAAGGGAGGCCGCGGCGTCTGCCGATGGCTCCGCGGAAGCTGACGGGCCCGGTCCAAGATGGCGGCGGCGGAGGAGGCCTCCCCTCCTCTCTTCTCGTCTCTGGCGCCGGCCCGCCCCCAAGCCCCGAATGGAGCCCTACCATTGCTCCTGCTGCACGTCGCTCCTGCCGCTCGGGCGCGTTCGATTGGTCTTCGGCAGGGATGCGTTCGGCCCCCTCTCACCGATTGGACAATTGCTTCAAGGCGCGGCGTTCGATTGGCCTCCCGCGCAGGCTACTAGGATTGGCTCAGGTTTTGTTCCCCGTCCCTCCTCCTCCTCCCGCCTCAAGGCACAACACGCCAGCGCGAGGGCCCGCGCGTCAATCAAGAGGCTGGTGTCGTGCTGATTGGACACACCCGCCCCCCTTTCCTAAACCAATTGGCAGGGGGGAGGAGCTAGGCTGATCAGGGGAGGGAAGTCGTCCGTCAAGTTTAGAGCCATTTTTAATTGGTTGGGAGGGAATATTCCATCCTGAAGCCATTGGTTGGTGCTGGAAGTGGGTAGGGAAAGTGGAGGAAGGCATGCTGAGTGGGAGTTAAAGACCGAGTACCTAATGGGATACAGACAGGTGCCTTCAAAGCTGAAGTCACCTGCCAATCAAAACATCCCCTGGGCCAAGGGGGAGGAGCTGAGCGAGAGGGCCCACCCCTTTCCCCTCGTTGGCCCTGACTGTTATCACTCATGCCAGTCTGTCCAATAGTGTAGCGAGGGGGCGGTACCCGCTCCTGCAGCGTGTGAAACAGGGCGTAGCAGGCAGACCTGGGAACTGGGGCGCATCCCTCTCTTTCCCCAGCGTCCGGTCCGTCTCCAGGTGCCCGTGCTGGGCAGAGCGCTGAGGCTCAGTCCTTGATGGAGGAGGCACGAGACAGTGCCCCAAGTCACTGGCATCACGCGAAGCTGCATTCGTGGGGAAGCGCCGCGGAGGCTCGGAGTTTTGTCCTGCCTCTGAGGGCTACGTGGCCGTTCCTCTCCTCTGCACCCTCGTTTCCTCGGTGCAGAAGGTGCAGGTGACATTAGGTTTACCCTCCCACGGTTGCCACCTGATGCCTGTTGCTCCTTAATATCTCAGCTCTGTGCTCTACTCTTGGGAGGAAAACTTCCCTGACATCCCATACCACGGGCTCAGGTGAGAGCCCTGTTGGTTCGTTGGAATTGCAGCTTGCACGTCTGACGTCGTTTTCGTCATTATTCAACTCTCTCCTTATGGGTTTTGCATCCCAGGAGGCACTGAGTTAACGCGTTGCTAAACGGATGAATGAATGCAAGGAATGACTGTGGTTAAGCCTTGCTAACAGCGGTTCTCAACCTGTGGGTCGCGACCCCTTTGGCGGTCGAACGACCCTTTCACGGGGGTCGCCTAAGACCATCCTGCATATCAGATATTTACATGACGATTCATAACAGTAGCAACATTACAGTTATGAAGGAGCAACGAAAATAATTTTATGGTTGGGTCACAACATGAGGAACTGTATTTAAAGAGCCAGAAGGTTGACAACCACTGCTTGCTAAGCACCGGTGTTTCCACCAGCCTCCAGGATCACACCCATCAAGATGGGAAGCCAGAGCTGCCCATTATCTCCAGGTGGAGGAAAGTCAGATAAAAGCGAGTGAGAACTGCTCAGAGTCACCTGTGACAAGGGAGATAAGAATGCTTGTAAAAATGCAAGGTTGCCCTGCCCAGTGTGCTCAATGGTTAGAGCGTCATCCCGTGCACCGAAGGGTCACTCACGGGTTTGACTCCGGGGCAGGGCACATACCCAGGTTTCGAACTCAATCCCAGGTTGGGATGCATGTGTGAGGCAACTGATCGGTTTCTCTCTCACATCAATGTTTCTCTCTCCCTTCCTGTCTGTCTAAAATCAATGAACATATCCTCAGATGAGGATTAACCAGAAAAAAGCCATGCTCTTAGGGCCACACAGCCTCAGAGATTTGTACTTTTACAGACTTACCAGGTGATCCCTGTGCTCATTAGAGTTTGAGTTTTGCTGAGGGGCTTTGCTATTCAAAGTGTCCCCCTGCACAGGGACTTCCCAGGAATCGCTTGTGGGGAGGGGGGGCATGGTTAAAATGCAGATCCTGATCCAGGTCCCAGGTTCTGCTTCTCTAACAAGTTCCCAGGTGAATGGAGTGTCCACAGTCCCCACGTCAAAGAGCAAAGACCCACTGGTTCTCAAACGTGGCTGCACCTAGAATCACCTGGTGGCTTTTTAAAAAACCCAGTCAGGCCTCACCGTAACCAGTGGAATAAAAATAAATAAATCTGGCGCCCGGCCGGTGCTGCTTAGTGGTTGAGTGACAACCTATGAACCAGGAGGTCCTGGTCAGATAACCTGGTCGGGCACATGCCCGGGTTGTGGGCTTGACCCCCAGTGTGAGGCAGCCCAGCCGATAAATGATTCTCTCATCGTTGATGTTTCTCTCTTTCCTTCTCCCTTCCTCTCTCTGAGAGCAATAAAAACATGTTAAAAAATAAATCTGGGGGTCAGAACCAGGTAGCAGGAATTGTAAAACTTCTGAGATGATCCCAACATGCATCTAATTTTCCGGAGCAGTGGTTCCGAGTGTGGCCCCTACATCAGCAGCGTAGACATCACCTGGGACCTTGTTAGAAACGCAGTGTTGAGCCTAGGACAGACCAACGGAACCCCAAGCTCTGGGCCCAGCAGCCTGTTTTCATCAAACCTTACAGGCAGCTCTGAAGCAGAGTGAGCTTCGAGGATCTTTGTTGTAAGTGTACACAGGACGGCAGGGCAGGCGACTGGATTCTGTCCCGAGACCTACCCCCCCACACACACACATTAGTCACTCTGGCCAGGGGAGATGGGATTCCGAAGGGCCGTGCCCAGAGGGACAGAGGGCCCTTCCCGGCAGAGCCCCAAGCAGACCAGCCAGGGCTGTCACTTTACTTACACAGGACTTAGGCTCAAGCATAAACTTGGGGAAAGAGCTGTGACCCGGGGTTCTCTGGCCAGTAGAAGGAAGCTCCAGGTGGAGGAGATTCAGAGAGCTCCGGGGTCCACAGGAGGGTGAGGGCCCTGGGCTGCGGGAGGCACTGGGGTCCAGGGATACATGCTGAGCCCTGAGTGGGGGTAGAGCAGCCCAGAGGGGAACAGACAGGGAGATTGCAGCCCGGACTGGGAAGCGACAGACCCAGCAAGAAGGCTGTGCTGGAGACATTCCCCAGGGAGGCCTTCCCACACTCGCCTTTCAGCCTCTGCCTCCAACCCAGGGGACAGGCCTTGGCCGGCCCACCTCCCCCCAGACTGGGGGCTCCTCTCCCACCTGGTGAGCTGAGCTTGGCACAGCAGCGGGAGCTCCCCGCAGGCGGGAATAAAAGCAGTGCCAGTCCCTGGGCGGGGCCATCCTGTGCCGAGTGCCTCCCGGCATCCGGTGGAGTGAGTGTTTGGTGACCTCCCAGGTGGCCCACACGGGAGCTGGGCTTCCGCAGGCTCCTTGCTTGGGTGTGAAATGACAGGTGCCCCGAGGCGTGTGGGACGGAGGGGGTGCTCCTCTTCCTGGGATCCATGATGGGGACTGACTGGGCCGGGAGCCCACCCGGATTGGGGGCCCAGGCTCTGTCCCCCAAACCCGGTAGCTCTGACTCCTCCAGTGCTTGACAATCAATCAAATTCAGACAATGTGCTTTTAATCACACTTTTCCAAAAAGTATCTCCTTTCCCAGTTAAAATAACAAAAACGAGGTGTGGTGGGGACCGCTCTGCCAACTGGGGCGGCAACCTCGGTGCGGGGGCCTCCGCACCCCCCTGGACAGTCCGGGCACTGGGCACTGGCGGGCTCCCCCCATCGGAGCCCCCAGCCCTGACCCCTTGGGAGCACATGGCCTCCACGTCATGCCCTGTTGGGGTCCAACCCCAGGAGGTCCAGGGGTTCCCAAAGGTGTGGACGGAGTTGGCGAAGAAGGAATGACACAAAGAGCGTTCAGTTGATCAGCAGCCTAGCAAGGTTCTCTAGCCGGGTTCCAGCCAGGATCTCCAGCCAGGTTCTGTCTTATTTTTATTTTATTTTATTTTTATTTTTTTAGACAATGTGCTTTTAATCACACTTTCCCCAAAAGTATCTCCTTTCCCAGTTAAAATAGCAAAAACGAGGTGTGGTGGGGACCGCTCTGCCCCCAACTGGGGCGGCGACCTCGGTGCGGGGGTCTCCGCAGCCCCCTGGACAGTCCGGGCACTGGGCAATGGCGGGCTCCCCCCATCGGAGCTCCCAGCCCTGACCCCTTGGGAGCACATGGCCTCCACGTCTGCCGTGGGCGGCCACCCAGGGTGCGCCCTCAGGTGGACATGATGCCGTTCTTCTCGCCCTTGACCTTGAGGAACTCGGCCATGCTGGAGAAGTACTTCTGGTTGGCCTCAGCCACCTTCTTCTCGGCCGCTTGTGGGTTCACAACCTCCAGGCCCTGGAGCGGGGTGAAGGCCACACTGGAGACGGTGCCCGAGGAGCGGTCGCGGATGGTGGACTTCCCGCCGCACACCACACTCTGCTTCTGCAGGGTCCGCTGCAGCGTCTTGGAGATCCTGGCTTTGGTGGCCTCGTTCACCTGCGTCTGCCGCACGCGCCCACTGCCCGACTTGCCCAGGTGGCCCAGGCTGAAGCCCAGGTCCTCCTGGTAGGCGTCCTCCTCGATCTGGGGGAGGGCGAGGCATCTGGAGTCAGTCACCCTGATCAGCTAGAAGCCCCATCCTCTGTCCCACCAGCCAGTCCTGGGGCCCCAGTTCAGGCGCCCGTGGGCCCCGAGAGCAGTGAGCCTTGCTGAGGCCCCAGTAGCGGGGCCGTGAGGAGCTGGATCCTGTGACTGCTTCCCAAGCTGACAGGTGGGGGGGGTGTGTGCGGTTCTCATGGGACCAGGAGGGTGCTCGGATGAGACTGGGGAGGGCATGCGACCCAGGGCATGGGAAGGGCAGGGAGGAGGGGCCGGGGTGGCCGGCAGGGCCCAGACCAGGATCCTGGGTTGACGCAGAGCCTTGGGGTGAGGGGTCCGGGGCTGGGGGTGGTGTGAGTCCCTTGGGGCTGGGGGGCCAGGGAGGAGGCTGGGTGGTGCCCCAGATCCGAGGGGCCATAGACAGACAGCCATAGACAGGAGCACAGCAGGGGCGGGGCCGGCTGGGAGGGCCGGGGCCCACCTCTCCGAAGCTCATGCGGTTGGCCTGCTTCCGGATCTCCGTCAGCCCCAGCCGCTCCTTCATTTTGCGATACCTGAGGACAGGGCACCGATGCGCCCACTGCCCGACTTGCCCAGGTGGCCCAGGCTGAAGCCCAGGTCCTCCTGGTAGGCGTCTTCCTCGATCTCTCCGAAGCTCATGCGGTCGGCCTGCTTGCGGATCTCCGTCAGCCCCAGCCGCTCCTTCATTTTGCGATACCTGCGGCCGCCTCGCTTCTTGCGCTGCCCATCGAGGGGCGAGGGGCGCAGGCAGCGGCTTCACCTGCTTCACAGGGGGAGGCTCCTGCCACTTGTCGAACTTCCGCTCGATCTCGTCCTTGAGTTCGTAGCCCACCTGTGGGGCACGAGAGGGGCTGCGGCTGCTGGGACCTCAGCCGCCCCTGGCTCTTGGGGGCGAGCTCCACCCGAGACCCACCGATCCCCAACTGGTCCCCCGAGACAACTGTCTCCTCGACACCCGGACACCACAGCCCGAGAACACCTGCCCGCCCCAGCTCCCACCCTCGCTCCCCGCAGGTCAGCAAGGGGGGACGCCTGGGGGTCGGTCAGCCTCCGCCCCACTTCTCTCTGACCCCGCCCATCCCAAGGGCTCTTCTTCAGGGAAGACCCCAAATCGGCCTCTTCTCAGCGTGTCCAGAGTCCGAGCACCCCAAGGCCCACAGCCCCTGGTCTGCCCGCGGCCCCCTCCCAGGCTGGCTGTGCACCCGCCTCAGGGCCTTGGCACTGACCTCCCCAGTGCACACGAGGTTCGAGATCTGCCTGCCAACCTCACTCAGGTCCCCGTGAAGCCCTCCCTCCCTGGGACCCAACGCCCTCGCTTCTCTCCTGGCCCTGACCCGGCACACGGGACACACCCCAGGTTTACCTACTGTCTCCTCCCCCTCCAACTGGAATATAAATGCCCCGAGGCAGGGCCTTGGTCTGTGCTGCTCACCCCGCACCCCAGCCTCCAGACCAGGGGGCGCTTGGGAAGGGAAGAGGGAGAGAGGGGGAGAGAGAGAGCCTGGAGCCCTGGCTGCCGCCAGGCTGGGTGCTTGGGCAACAATGCACAAGACAGCAAGCGTCTCTCCTCTCTCGGAACAAGTCAGCCTAGAAGACGGGGGTAGGCTGGTGGGGGGACAGGTCCTAGCCCAGCAGCAAAGAATGGCGGCCCCCACCCCATCCCCAAAGGGTCCACGCGGGAGTCTCCGTCCCTGTGAACATGTCAGGTTAAGGTCAGGAGATGGGGAGAGATGGGGAGGGTGTGGGCCAGTCCCTCTCTGGCAGCTGGGAGGCCACACACTGGAGGGAGGGGCCTCTGGAAGTGGGAGGGCCCGGGACCCCCCCGCCCCCCGCCGGGGCCCAGAGGAACAACTCGGAGACACCTTGGTGTAACCCAGCAGAACCCATTCCGGACCCTGACCAAGGCCTGTGAGCTCCTGCCCCTGCGCTGCACTGAGCCACGGCGTCTGGTCACTTGCTAAGAGCAGCGGCGACAGGAAGCAGATGGGGGGGTTTGAGGGGGGGAGTTGATGGGGGTTGTGGGGGTGGTGACCTTGGGGCCACAGTAGACACCACCTTTCAGGACAATCGCTCTCCCTGGACAGCCCACAGCCCACAGCCCACGGGCTCAGACGCCGGCCCCTCACCTTCCCCTCCGTGCTCTCGTGGAAGCTGTCCACGCGGGCTGCCAGCGTGCACTTGGCGGCCACCAGGCGGGCCGCTTTCCGCCGGAGATCCGGGGGCATCACCGAGGCCACGGGGCTCCCGAACGCTAGCCCCCGGCCCGTTCCTGCCTGGCCGCGGCCACCCTCGTGCCGTGCGTCACTGTGACAGCGTGTTGCGGCAGCAAAGCATCGTCGCCAACGCTTTCTTCAAACTACTCTTTAAAAGCTTAACCTGGTTTGACAGACAACCTACTACACTGCTCCGGACGGGAAATATCACAGACCAAAGGCGAAGTGTGTTAGGATTAAAACAGGAAACGTGCAGGTAGCACTGAGAACACGAGAGAAAAGGCGGCCTGTGCCCTGGGGACACCACGATGCGCGTGGGAAACCTGTGGCCACAGGTCTCGTTAGTGATAGTTACACCAACAATGAAGTCAGCAGCAGCTGGAGCAGTGCAGACCTAGCCTGCCTCTACGGGGTCTGGTCTGGCCAGGCAGGAACCCTGTGAGTTAGGGGGGTCTTTGGGTTACAGGGTATCGGTCAACCCGGAGACGGGGCTCAGCCACGCTGCGTAACCAAGCCCAGCAGACTGTGAGCAGGGAGGCCTGGCTGGAGGTGCTGTGCATGTGTCACACATCGGTGCTGGGAGAGGACCGTGCCTGACGGCGGGCACTCCTGGGCCCTGCCCTCGGGCTTCTCCCCTGGGCTGACGTTACTGCCCTCTCCTGTGGTGAACTGTGACCCCGAGTGGGTCGCTGAGCCTGAGGGCGCCTTGGGGAAGCCCGGACGGGCAGGCTAAGGCTGACGTCACTTGTCAGGTGCGAGGCTGCCCGGATGAGTGGGCATCATGACGGAGAAGCAGGCTGTTCTCCCCACTTTACAGATGGAAAGACAGAGGCAGAGCTCAGGCCTCTTGCGTGAGGTCACCTAACCAGCAAGTGGTGCTGCCAGATCCCAACCCCAGCGCATGTGCCCCAGCGTCCCTGTTCTCACCCCCGCGCCACCGTCCCAGGGTCCCCACCAGCCCTCAGCCAATGGGAGGAGGCTCACCGGGGGCAGGGACTGCACGATGTCGCTGTGGTAGATGTAGCCGGTGTGGGGCAGCACGGAGGTGGACGAGAAGCCCGACAGCGTCTTGCGCTGGGCCCCCAGCAGCATGATGTTGCAGGCGGGCATCTTGGAGAGGTTGGTCAGGCCGCCGGCCACCCCTGCAGCGGGCGGGGGAAGAAGGGGAGGCGGTGAGGAGAGCAGGGCCATTTGTCCATGTGCCTTTACCGAGTCTCTGGTTGGATGCCATGGTGGCCCCGCCAGGGAGGGCCTCTCATTTCAGAGGGGGGATGTGGAGGAAGCTCAGAGAGGTCAGCAACTTGCCTGAGGGTGCACAGCGAGCAAATGGCCCGAAAAGAGCCTAACTCAAGTCGGAGAAGCAGCACAGCCTGCCTCGGGGCGTGCCAACCACAGGGCCTGGTGTGCAGCACCGGGGTTCCCTGAGCTGGTCTGCAGCGGGGGCAGGAAGAGGGCTCTCTGAGGGAAATACCTCCACCGCTGAGGGGCCTGCTGTGAGCTGGCTGGTGCTGGGTGTCTTTAAGGGAAACTGTCATCAACCACAGGAACCACTAAAGTGAGCCTCAAACACAGCGCGCCAACCCACTGGGGGCAGAACAGCCCCGAGAGGCCATCGCAATCCTATGTGGAGGAAGCTCAGAGAGGTGAGCAACTTGCCTGAGGGTGCATAGCGAGCAAATGGCCCAAGAGGAACCTAACTCAAGTCGGAGAAGCAGCACAGCCCGCCTGGGGCGTGCCAACCACAGGGCCTGGTGTGCAGCACTGGGGTTCCCTGAGCTGGTCTGCAGGGGGTGCGGGAAGAGGGCTCTCTGAGGGAAATACCTCCACCGCTGAGGGGCCTGCTGTGAGCTGGCTGGTGCTGGGTGTCTTTAAGGGAAACTGTCATCAACCACAGGAACCACTAAAGTGAGCCTCAAACACAGCGCGCCAACCCACTGGGGGCAGAACAGCCCCGAGAGGCCATCGCAATCCCCACGGTGCCTTTCGTGGCCAAAGGGCCTCTGCAGGCCATTACGTCAAAGACCCCGAATTGGGGTGATTGCCCTGGAGGAGCCGGGCTCAATGCCCCCACAAAGGGCCCTTCAAGGTGGAAGAGGAAGGCGGTGTCAGTCACAGACGTGACTGACAAAGTGAGCAGGAGGGCGGGGGCACGAGCAAGGGACGCGGGCGCCTCCAGAGGCGGGAACAGGCCAGGAGATAGTCCTCCGGAGCCTCCGTGAAGGAATGTCCAGAATCACGAGGTGACGGAGAGGGTGGGGGCTGCTTAAGGAGCTCGGTTTGTCTGCAGGCCATTACGTCAAAGATCCTGAATTGGGGTGATTGCCCTGGAGGAGCCGGGCTCAATGCCCCCACAAAGGGCCCTTCAAGGTGGAAGAGGAAGGCGGTGTCAGTCACAGACGTGAGAGCAAAGTGAGCAGGAGGGAGGGGCACGAGCAAGGGACGCGGGCGCCCCCAGAGGTGGGAACAGGCCAGGAGCCAGTCCTCCAGAGCCTCCGTGAAGGAATGTCCAGAATCACGAGGTGACGGAGAGGGTGGGGGCTGCTTAAGGAGCTCGGTTTGTGGTCATTTGTCGCAGCCGCCACAGGAAACCAGCGCACCCCAGCCACCCCTGGGGAAACGGAGGCACGCGAGGTCGCCTGCCCAAGGCAGCGAGGCCAGTGGGAGGGAGCAGGACCCCACACTGAGTTCCCACCTGCGACTGCACACACCTGCCCTGAAGGCGGCTGCGAGGGGCCCAGCTCTGGCCCCAAACTTCACCTGTTGGCGTCCTCACCCCACCCCGTGCTCAGAATGAGACGTATCTGGAAGTGGGGCCCATAAAGAGGTGATTAAAGTGACGTGACATCACAGGATTGGCCCCAATTAAATCTGACTGGTGCCCTTAAAAGGAGGTTGGGACACGGACACACACAGAGGGACGGCCATGTGACCGCACGGGGAGCCGGTGTCTACATCCTTAGGGGGACCAGCCCTGCCCGCACCGAGATCTTGGGCCCCAGCCGGCAGGACAGGGCGACAATAAGTCTCAGTGGTTGAAGCCTTTCTGGTGGCAGACCAGGCCCGAAAACACAGCTGCTTTACCCAACACCCTGCGAGTGTTTCTGGTTAAAGGGGCCAGGAGCCCAGGAGCGGGAACCCCCCTACAGTGGGGACCCCCTGCCAGGACCAGGCCCCATCTCGCGGAGGACACAGGCCCCCCTCCCGGCCCCGGGCTCACCCATGATCTTGGCGGCCGTGGACGCCCCGATGATGATGGAGAGGTTGGGCGCGATGAAGGACATGCGGGACTCCACGTACTCGTAGATGCGGTGCTTGGAGGCGTTCAGCTCCAGCGCCATGTCGCAGGCCTCCTCCAGCCGCTCCAGCTCCTCCTCCGACAGCTGCTGCCTGCAGGGAAGGGGGGACCACATGGCTGGGACCCCGGACAGACCCAGCCCCCTGGGTTCCCTGCCTGACTGCTGTGGGAGCCCCGCCCCCAGCTGTGTGCACATGCGTGTTTGTGTGCACGCATGCAGGCGTGTGCAGCCTCAGGACAATCACCCCTCGGCAGTGGCAAGCGGGGGGGCCTGCTGTTACCCCGCAGAGAGCTCGGTCCAGCCTGTGGCTTTGGCCTTTGACCTGTGCATGCACCTTCCTTCTCCCCGACAGGAGCTGAGAGGGCAGGGCCACCTCCAAGCTGCTAGTTCTGTAACCCCATCCGGGGACCTGCCAACGCTTGTTCACTTGTTCGAGGACCAGGATGACAGCCCGAGGGAGAGCCCCATCCCACAGGACCAGGCTGGCTTCTCACTCAGTGGGGACCCCGAGCCCAGCCTGCTGCCTGGCTGGCACTGAAGTGAACTGTCCCCCGAGACCGACACCTGTGCCACTGGGACCCCAGGATCGCGCCTGCTGCCAGCTGGGCCCAGCGCCTCCTCCCCTCCCGGCGGCGTACGCACCCCTGGGTGGTGGAGGCGGTCACGCTGACCACCATGATGGTGGCGTTGGTCAGGATCTGCTGCAGGTTCTCGTTGTTCTTGCACTTGTCCAGGCTGTTGCCCAGCTCCTGGGGGTGAGGAGGCGGCGATGGACAGGCGGCACGGAGGCCTGGGGAGGCCCCAGACCCTCTTGCTCCTGCCCCCGCTCGGTCCCTTCCGGGTGCGGGGAAGCTGGGGTCTGTGCGCAGGTGCCTCTCCCGCCCCCACCGGCTCCGAGCGTCAGTGCTCCAAGCACCAGCTCCGCCTGCCCCGTGTGGCTGATGCAGAACGGACTGGAGCAACTGGCCACTCAGAGCGCCAATCTGACCATCTAACTCCCTGCACGGACGCCCCTGGCCGCCGCCCTCACCTCGGGGACACGTGGGAGCCTCCGGGCGGGCGTCCCTGCCTTCACCTCTGGGGCTTAGAGATCAGGTGTGACCAGACCTTGTCAACTCGCCTCCTCACTTCCTGTTCCTCGTTCCCTGAACCCGCAGGGCTCCTTACCCTCTCGGGGTCCTGACACTTCACGCTCTTCCCCCGAATCTCTGCACAGCTGCCCCTTGTCAGCTCTCCACACCCCCTGCTCCGTCCACCAGAGGGAGTGGGCGCCCCTCATCTCCCTCCCGCTCCCTGGGCCACTACCCCCTCGGGAGACCCCTCTCCGGAGAGCCAGGGAGCCGAGGGTGGGGCGGAGGAGCCGTGAGAACCTCCTTTCCAGGCTCCACAGCTGGCAGCAGCTGGACCCGCCGTCAGTCACCCCTCCAGAGCCTCCAAGCCCCGAGGGCGAGGGAGGCGGCTGGGGCCTCCGTCGTCACTAACTGAGCTTGTCCCCTTGTCCCCTGCTCCTGTGCTCACCCCCCCCAGGGTCCCAGGGCGGGGCCTGCCTCCCCCCCACACGGAGCCCACCCGCACCCACCTTGACCGTACGGATGTAATCCAGTGCGTTGGGGACCAGCGACTCCAGCTCGGGGAAGCGCTTCGAGTACTTGTCCCGGATGAACTTGTGGATGATGTCTGAGGTGGGCGGGGCGGGAGGCATCTGATGAGGGGACAGGCGGACGGCTGGCTGTCCCCCACATCCACTTCCCCCTCTCACTTTAGTAACCGAACCCCTGAGCTTCGCGGGGCGCAAGGACACAAAGAATAAAGGGCCCACTTCCTGCTCCCTCGCTGCTGGACAGGCCGGAATGAGCTAGTTCTGGTCTAGAGGTGACACGTGCAGCCTCCAGGGCACCCCTTGAAGAGGAGAGCTGTGCCCTCTGCTCTGCCCTGTCTTGCTGGTGGGGATGTGGAGGCGATGGCTGGATGTGGGCAGTCACCTTGGACCACGAAACAGGCAGCAGATCAACAAGATAACAAGAGCCTGGCCTGGCCGGTGTGGCTCAGGCTCAGTGGTTGAGCGTTGACCCATGAACCAAAAGGTCCCTGGTTCGATTCCCGGTCAGGGCACATGCCCAGGTTGTGGGCTCCATCCCCGGTTTGGGGGCGGGGAACACAGGAGGCAGCCAATCGATGTCTCTCTCATTCATGTTCCTATCTCTCTGTCCCTCTCTCTCTAAAAATCAATAAAAACATATTTAAGAAAATAAATAAATGAAGAGCCTGGGCAGCAGACACTCCGACACCAGGGCCCCAGCCTGGACTTCCACGCGAGGGGGAAGTGCACTTCCTTCTTCGTTCAGCCCCTGCCACAGCAGCAGAGGCCGGACTCAGGCAATAGGAGGGGCTCGGGGAGCGGCCAGCGGGATCCTGCCTGTTCCCCCCCCCCCCCCCCCCCAAGAAAGTAAATAAATAAAGAGCCTGGGCAGCAGACACTCCGACACCAGGGCCCCAGCCTGGACTTCCACGCGAGGGGGAAGTGCACTTCCTTCTTCGTTCAGCCCCTGCCACAGCAGCAGAGGCCGGACTCAGGCAATAGGAGGGGCTCGGGGAGCGGCCAGCGGGATCCTGCCTGTTCCCCCCCCCCCCCACCAATAGGTCCTTTTCTCAGTGTGCCTTTCTGTGATACGCTTCTTTGTCAGCAACTTTGTGACTCGAGGTAGGAAATGGTTAGGCAGACATTCAGGTGCATTTCTGGGCCTCTGGGGATCTCGGTGCAGAAATACAGGAGAGCAGGATTCTGCACGTGGGTGGGCCTAGCCTGTGTGTGGAAGAGAACATGGTGCGGGGAGGCTAGCTGACAGGCAGGACGGCCAGAGGACTTCAGGTCCTGAGTTGGGCCTCAGTTCTCAGCCAGAGTCTCCACGGAAGTGAGGGCATTAGAACTCAGCACGCCCTGCCCTTCTGAGCACCCTCACGTCTGTGCACTGGACCCACCACGTTGGTTCACTGCTAAGTTTTGAACAGGCCTGCCTGCTACTAGGCTCCTCTATCACTTCTCCCTGCCCCTCTATTCCACCTCACCTTGTCCCCTCTATTCTGCTTCCTCCCACAAATCTCATTTGTTTCTAATGCTTTGAGTTCCTTTAAGGAGAGAGAAATGCTTGTTCTTCTGAAATCAGAGATAAGAGCAGTGGTTCTCCGCCTTCTGGCCCTTTAAATACAGTTCCTCATGTTGTGACCCAACCATAAAATTATTTTCGTTGCTACTTCATAACTGTAATGTTGCTACTGTTATGAATCATAATGTAAATATCTGATATGCAGGATGGTCTCAGGCGACCCCTGTGAAAGGGTCGTTCGACCGCCAAAGGGGTCGAGACCCACAAGTTGAGAACCGCCAATTTAAAGAAAATGTGGAATGGGGGTTGGGAGGCTGGGTGGAAAAGGTGAAGGGACTAAGAAGTACAAATTGGCAGTTACAGAACAGTCAGGGGGAGCCCGGCCGGCGTGGCTCAGGGGTTGAGCGTCGGCCAATGAACCAGGAGGTCAGGGTTCGATTCCCGGTCAAGGGCACATGCCCGGTTTTCGGGCTGGATCCCAGTGATTCTCTCTCATCTCTGATGTTTCTCTCTCTCTCTCTCTCTCTCTCTCTCTCTCTCTCTCTCCCCCTTTCTCTGGCACATCCCCAGTAGGGGGTGTGCAGGAGGCAGCTGATCAATGTTTCTCTCTCTTCGATGTTTCTGGCTCTCTATCCCTCTCCCTTCCTCTCTGTAAAAAAATCAATAAAATATGTATATATATAAAAAGAAGTACAAATTGGCAGTTACAGAACAATCAGGGGGAGCCCGGCCGGCATGGCTCAGTGGTTGAGCCTCAGCCAATGAACCAGGAGGCCACAGTTCGATTCCCGGTCAAAGGCACATGCCTGGTTTTCGGGCTGGATCCCAGTGATTCTCTCTCATCACTGATGTTTCTAAACATCACTGATGTTTTTATCTCTCTCTCCTTCTCCCTTCCTCTCTGAAATCAACAAAATATATATTTAAAAAACCCACACACACATAAAAAAAAAACCCCACACAAAAACAAAATAGTCAGGGGGATGCAGATAAAAAAATATTGTAACAACTGTGGATGGTGCCAAGTGGGCACTAGACTTATCAGGGGGGTCACTCTGTAAGGTCTATGTGTATCCACTATGCTGTACACCTGAAACTAACATAATACTGTATGTCAACTGTAATTGAAAAATAAAAAATAAAACCGGGTGCTAAAAAAAACAACCAAACAAAAAATGTGAAGTAAACAGGACAAGTAGCGAAACCCCAGGAACTGGTCATGTGACCGCTTAGAAACCCGGACAGAAGTCCTAGGCGAATGGTGAACACTGTAAAATGCAGCATCTTTTCGGGAGAGAAGGGGACCGGGCTGGGATGGAGGAGAAGAGGGCTCGAAAAGGCCGGGAGGGGGAGTGACCCAGCTTTCAAAGCCACAAGCAGTGCAAGGCGGGGGACCAGGCGGTGGGCGAGGCCGAGGGGAGGCAGGGGGTACCTTCCGAAGCTTTGGCTTGCTTGCTGATGTACTCCTCGATCTTCATCATGATCTCAGCAAACTGGGGAGGAGAGGCAGGTCAGCTCCCAGGATGGCCGGAGAGAGGCCCTGCCCGCCGCGCCCTCCGAGCTCCCGCCCGAGGCCGCTCACCATCTTGCTGTCCCACAGCTTGGCGATGCTCTTGACCGAATCCCCGGAAAGATCCAGCTGTGTCTCCTCCTGCACATCCTCGATCGCCGGCTCCTCTTCCTCCTCCCCATAGCTTCCTCCTTCCTCCTCTTCCGCCGCCTCCTCGAGGTCGGCCAGGAGCTCGTCTGCCAGAGACATCCCGAGGCCTACTGGGGGAGAGCAGGGGTCCCCTCATTACCGAGAGGGGCTCCCCCCCAGGAGGCCCTGGTCCATCCTCGTCCGCCCCACTAGCACGCAGGCTCCACAAGGACCGGCATTTTCATCTGCGTTGCTCTCCAGTTCCTCACTGTGCATGGCACATAGTAGGTGCTCAATAAACACCTACTGCATTAACCTGTGAACAAACCCCCCTGAACCCAGATAATCTCCAGCCACAACTCACACCACCTACCCTCTCACAGTCACTTCACTGATAAGACACAGCAACCTCCCTCATTAAGGCTTAAAAGATACATCCTCCCGCCCGGCCCGTGTGGCTCAGTGGTTGAGTGTCGACCTATGAACCAGGAGGTCGGGGCACATGCCCGGGTTGTGGGCTTGATTCCCAGAGTGGGGTGTGCAGGAGGCAGCCAATCCATGATTCTCATTGATGTTTTCTCTCTAGCTCTCTCCCTTCCTCTCTGAAATCAATAAAAATGTATTTAAAAAAAAAAAAAGAAACATCGGGTAAATGAATCAACAATTTCATTTAGTCGTTACACCCACCACATTATGGTCTCTTTTCTCCAGGTCTTTGAATAGATTATTTTCCATATATGGTAGAGGCATAAACATTATGTCTGGCGACGTGGTGGGTTTTCTGTGACACCTGCCCCCCCAACCCCACCCCAGCAAGACTGGATCCTACTCCCGTTTGTACATCTATGAACTCACTCCATTGCCTCAACACTTAAGAGACCCTAAATTCCTAACATTTGTCATCCTGTGCACTGAGGGGTCTCGGGTTCGAGTCCCGGTCAAGGGCTTGTCCCTGGGTTGCACGTTGGATCTCTGTCGGGATGCGTGTGGGAGGCAGCCAATAGATGCGTCTCTCTCACATTGATGTTTAGACTCTCTCTCTCTCTCTCTCTCTCTCTCTCTGTTGATGTTTAGACTCTCTCTCTCTCTCTCCCCTCTCTCCCTTCCACTGTCTCTAAAAAGCAACAGGGAAAAAGCTCTCTGGTGAGGATTAACAACAATAAAGTTAAATTTCTAACACTTTGGGTGTTTTTTTTTAAAATATATATTTTATTGATTTCAGAGAGGAAGGGAGAGGGAGATAGAAACATCCATAATGAGAGAGAATCATTGATCGGCTGCCTCCTGCACGCCCCCTACAGGGGATCGAGCCCGCAACCCGGGCCTGTGCCCTGACCTGGAATCGAACCCGGGACCCTTCCGTCTGCAGGCCAGCGCTCTATCCACTGAGCCACACCGGCCAGGGCTCTAACACTCTGGTTAAGGCCCGTCTTCCCCATGAAGCTCCCGTTTCCTTGAGAACAGGGCCCGTTTCACTGTTCACTCTACCCCAGCGCCCGGCCGGGAGCAGGTACCAGGACGTCGCCTGACCCCCACCTGCCACCATCACCTTTAGGGGCTCAGCCCCTCCTCAGCCTCCCGTTCACGCCTGGTACCCCGGATCCCTGACCCCCGCACCCCGCTCTCGGCGGCACCCCATATACTTGTGATTGAGCCGTGACTTCACCCGTCCCCCCCAGGCCAGTGGTTCTCAACCTTCCTCATGCCGCGACCCTTTAATACAGTTCCTCATGTGGTGCTGACCCCCAACCATAAAATTATTTTCGTGGCTACTCATTCACTGTAATTTTGCTACTGTTATGAGTCGTCCTGTAAATATCTGCTATGCAGGCTGTATTTTCATTGTTACAAATTAAACATAATGAGAGCATAGTGATTCATCACAAAAACAATATGGAATTATATATGTTTTCCGATGGTCTTAGGCGACCCCTGTGAAAGGGTCCTTCGATCCCCAAAGGGGTCGCGACCCCCAGGTTGAGAACCGCTGCCCCAGGCGGAGAGCGCCGAGGGCAGGGGGTG